AGGAAGGAAGGAAGGAAGGAAGGAAGGAAGGAAGGAAGGAAGGAAGGAAGGAAGGGAGAAAAAAAAGCTGAATGAGCCTGAAGTTTTGAATGTGAGAACTTAGAAAATTTTGGTGCCACTCCTACAACATAAAAATTAGGATACAGAGCCAGGTTCTGTGAGGAATATGATGTTAATTTTTAGATGCTGTGGTAGAGAATGCTTTTTCTAGGAGACTATTCTGCCTGGAGTACTGAAATATTCATGTTACCAAATGTTGTAGATATGACAAAGCTGTTACCCCCCTCACAAGTCACCAAAATATCGGATATTTACCACTAGGAGCAAGAAGTAAAATTGTGTACTTTTTAAAGAAAAAAGATGACTTACAGGCACTGAAGAACAAATAACTATACGATTTAAAAAGAAAAAACAAAAAGAAGTATCCACCAAACAGTGAAAGGCTAGATAGTGTCTAACAGGAAGAGAACGCTGTAGGTGTCAATTTGGTACTGAGAAGAAACACACCCCTCTATTTGATACAGTAGTGCTTTCATATATGTTTTTGCTATAGGGCAAATGGGTTTTGAAGGTTTCACTTATTTATTAAATTCAGTATTTAGTGTTCTGCAGTGAGCATGTTGGTACGTACATGTGTGTATGTGTGTGTATGAAATAGGAGGTAATGTGTTCCATCTCGGTGCTTACAATCCAATTTGAGGAGACAAGGTCCCACACACAACTGTTATACCATTAATTCTAAGAGGTGATATAAGCAAATGTAAGAATGCGGGATGCATAGCACTGAGAACACCACACACACACCCCCATGTGCTTTTACCTGAGTGGTTAAGATATCGCTCTGAGAGGACAGCCCCAAACAGTCTTCAGAAAGGCTTGTTTCACTCTCATACTCGGATGATGCTTCACCTTAAATGATAATAAAAACAGAGATTCAGATGTAAAAACAGACAGCCAATACTCCAACTTGCAGTACGTGTTTCTTCTCATTGACAGGACAAACTTCACTTTCATGTCACACAAAATGATTACACTCTTTGTTTAGGGACACCGGATTTCCTCTTAGGAATCGTAAGGATGAAAACCAGAAGCAAGCCCACCAATAATTAGGGCATTAAATCTCATTCAAATAGAAAAGATGTTCTAGCTGAGTAAAGGACTTTTGAGGAAAAGCACCTTGGGAGGAACATGGTTAAAGTTTAAGAAGCAGTTACTTTCATTGTACTTGGAAACTCGTAAAATGTGCTCCCCCAAAGGCATAAACATTTAGTTCATTTCTATAAAATAGACAGGGGCAAACACAAAAACCTGGTTCCAATACCTAAGTCTGAATCCACACTCTGCTCTTCTTGGCGATTATCCTCTTCCAAGCCAGTTTCCCTTTCGTCATCATCTGAAAGCAATTCCTTATCACTCAGAACTTCCTGGTTTTCAGACTGATGCCCCACTTGTTTGGAAAGAGGATCAAACATCAAGAAAGGATCCTGGGTGTTTGTATTAGCGGTCAAGTCTTCCACTGCACTGCACCGTGAAGAAAATAAGCTATCAGAACACCTCGCTTCCTCATGAAGGTGATGTTCCTGGGATGCCTTTGCCGATGTTACCTGGTCACTGCAGTCATTTAAGCTATTCTTCAATGATATTAGGTTCTCCTCTGTTTCCTTAGATAGACCCTCTGTGGCAACAGCATTATGTCTGGTAGATGGAGACAGTGTATTGGTTACTTTACCAAATAAGTGTTGGAAGCAGGGAAGCTCTTCATCCTCACTAGACACATTCTCTTCTGAGGACTCAGCCCCTCTTTCGTGGCCCTGAACCAAACATGTATGATGGGCTAAAGGGCCAGGGCTCCTTCTGAATTCTCCTTTTTGGACACTTTTGCTAAAAACAGCAGATCTTTCCTTAATGTCACTTTCAGCAAAGTTGCTATTTTCCTTTATTTTGTCATCATTTAACAACTCATCAGGTGTCTCAGAACAAACCTGAGAAGCATGGCTTCTTCCCATAGGTTGTTCTAGGTTATCTGAAATTAGACATGGGGAGAAATCTTCATTAACAGTCTGAAGTGTGCCTTCATTTTCTCCTTGCCTTTTTATTTCAGGAAGTTGACAGTTACTTACAGGAAGACTTTGCTTATAGACTTCGGGTTGCAAAAGACCTAATCTGAGCAAAGCACTTAATTTAGGTCCTCTGTTTCTATCTAGTTTTGCTTGAATGTTTTCACCACTGGAACCTACTTCATTAATACTGCTTGAGCTGACTTCTTTAAAAGTGTTTTCTCGACTGTTATTTTGGCTAATTGTGCTCACTGTACTTTGAATGATGCTCTCGTTTTCCATTGCTCTTTCAGGTGACATTACAGGTTCCTCAAACTTTTCCTCTGACAGGTTTTTCTTACATATAGTTTTAACAGATGACCTGATGGGAGAAAGTGATGGTAAAAGATATGGGTTGTGTGAAATCCCATGTTTATTTGCAATAATGAGCTCAGTTTTGTTGCCTCTGAACTGTGATGACTGACAAAGCCTAGTTACTCTTTTTGGGCTACGTTTGGCATGATCGCTCGGCTTCTTATCTTTTTGATCAGCGACAGGGAAGTCCACAGTTGTATTAATTGCCCGCACATGCTTGATTTTAGACTCACCCTTTCCCTGATTTTCTTCTTTTTGTCTGCATTCAAGAGGGACTCTTGGACTTTGTTCCCTTAAGGACCCAGAGTGGGCACAGACTGTTGCACATTCCTTTTCTGGATTTTCTGGATTTGAAAACAGAGCAAACGTCTGACGCTTTGAAACCTTGAACATATTCTGCAAACACTGTGTATCAAGTTCACTCTCTTCCATTTCTATGCTCGCCTTCTGAATGTGGTTAACGTCACGTCCCAGTGGATCCTGAAAGTCCTCTGTGTTGTTTCTAATATCTTTAGAACAACCAGGGATAAGTTCCTTGGGGCTTTCAATTGCTGCACACAGACTCACATGTTGATTTGGTGCTGTCTTTGCCTTCCCTAGGGTGTCAGCTTCCAGTAATGAGATACTATCCTGAGTGCCATAATCAGTATCAGGTACCAAGGAAATACTGGTACTCTCTACAGATCTTTCAATTTGCAAACCTCTTCCTCCACTTAATGTCAGACCTTTGGGGTCTTTGGTACTGTCTGACACCTGAATTGTTCCTAGGCTCTCCTCTCTTTGAAGGCTAGGATTAACAAGCTCTTGAAGTTTATTAGAACTAGAACAGTGAGTAAAAAAAACAGGTATGTTTGTTAAATTTAGTTCTGGATAAGTGTCACTGGCAAGTCTCTTAGTTATTTGTTCGTGTGGCTTGTTACTCTTCTTGGCTCCAGTTGTAGGTTCTTTATCTCCCATGAATTGAAGCTTTTTGCCGTGCCTGACTGGCATTTGGCTGCAATGTTTTTTCTTCATCTCTTCACTGCTAGAACAACTATCAATTTGTAGTTCAGTATGATTAGGTGGGCTTGGGTTTCTACTGACTACTAGTTCAAGTGCATGAATCTTCCTGGTAGAGGACTTCCTCCTCAGCCTATTTTTAGGTGCTTTTGAACTATGGATATTCAATTCTAGTTCCATATTGCTTATACTGTTGCTTATAGGTTCAGCCTTAGTTCTGAAAGCAGATTCTTTTTCCAATGATTCTGTTAGGTTAGCACTTTTCTCTTTCTGAACATAATCACCTTTCATTTCAGTCTCATGACCATTACTAGTAATATTCATCCCATGACCATCCTGCTCTGTTTGGTCAGTTCCCTCAATTATTTTTTCAGGAGTCTTTGGAATAACTGCCAAATCGACTTTCTTGATAAAATCCTCAGGATGAAGGCCTGATGTAATTCTCCTTTTACGCTTTAGTTTACTTGTGAGGGGGCGCTCTTGTGTTATCTGAGGTTCTACAGTAGATGCTCCTATAATTAGATCTTCAGCTATGCGGCTCAAGTTAGGGAGGCTTGCCTTCCTCTGATAGGTTTTCCCAAATATTTTATCTTCAATATTACTCTCTACTGGTTTGGAGTGGACTCTTTCACTTCCACATATTAAAGCACCACGAGGATCACTGGCCATTAAGTCTACTTTCTCGGAAGAACCCAAATATCCATCAACTTCCTTTGGAACTTCCACTGCACGAGCTACTTCAGTGTTTGATTCAAATCCCCCATCACGTGAGTCGTAAGAAGTTAACATTTCATCACTTCTGGAAAACCATTCATTAACTTTCTGTATGCTACTATTCACTGTTATCCAAGGAAACTCTTGGGAATCTCTAGGACTGTCAGAGGATGCAGGTTTCTGCTTATTCAGTTCTTTTCCCCCATATAGGGGATCAGCATTCAGAACTACCTTTTTCTCTGTACTGGGAGTCTGCCTATCATTACATGTGTCCTTACTTTCAGCCCATCTGCTCTGTTGGCTCTTTCCTAAGACAGGCTGTTTGCTTTTATTACAGAATTCAGCCTTTTCTACATTCATTCTGTCTTTCATGAGTAATAAACTGCTGTTTTCATGCTGTAATGAGCTGGCATGAGTATCTGTGCCACATGGCTCCACATGCAAGTTTGAAACAAAAATACCCTGATACTTTTCTGGATGCTTCGCAGTTCCATGCTTCTCAGTGGTGGTCAAATCTTTATTACTGAATTGATGATGTTCAGCCTTTGTTATGTCCTTCTCAGAAAACTCACAAGCAGCTGGAAAAAAAAAAAAAAACCAAGGTGCTTAAAAACTGAATTATTATGAAAAAAATATGTACTTAATACAATTTGGTTGAGGGGGAATGAAGGAACTGGCTCTTCTTAGAGAAACCTCAACTATCAAGTATACTGAAGATGTAGCTCATACTCTTCTGCTTGATTCCTATTTATCTAGATTCTCATTATTTCCACTCAAAATAATTAGAATTTTAATTTCAGAATTCTCCCTACTCATAACCCATACCTCCTATTTCACTAAACTCTAACAGTGAATTAAAAGCACAGTTTGAGACTCACAGACATGGAGAACAGATGTGTGGTTGCTAAGGGGGAGGGAAGGTGGGGGAGAGATGAAAGGGGAGTTTGGGGTTTGCAGATGCAAACTAGTATATATAGAATGGATAAATAATAAGATCCTACTGTATAGCACAGGGAACTGTATTCAATATCCTGTGATAAATCACAATGGAAAATAATATTACAAAACATGTATATATGTGTAAAACTGAATCACTTTGCTGTACAGCAGAAATTAACACAATATTGTAAATCACCTCTACTTCAATCAAAAAAAAAATGCGCAGTTTGGGCATCAGACATATAGTGCTTATGTTCTATCTTCAGACTCATACTCCCTCTATCTACATACCAGTATGCAAAGTATGAAATAAAAACACAGCAGTTAAAAGTAAAGGCAGGGCTTCCCTGGTGGCGCAGTGGTTGAGAGTCCACCTGCCGATGCAGGGGACACGG